CCCTTCCTCTGGACCAGGAGCAGTGGGACGACGGCTCAGAAGCCCCTACCTCTGGGCTGGGAACAGCGGGACTCAGTACCTTGGTCTGGTGGTCTAGTGACCTCTGCATCTTTGTAGTGTGGAACCAGGTGGCTGCCTGTGTGCAGCGGGGTGATTCGGTGTCTTCGCGTGACTCAGGACCTCGGTAGGGCGTGCACAGACCTTCCTGTGTGCAGCGGGCTGAATCGGCATATTCCGTGTGACTGGGGACCTCAGTAGGGCGTGGGCAGACATGCCTGTCTGCAGCGGGCTGATTCAGCGTGTTCTGTGCAACTCAGGACCTCGGTAGTGCGTGCACAGACCTGCCTGTCTGCAGTGGGCTCCAAGAACAATTTTAGAATTGTTCTGTATGTCGCTGTTGGGTATACGGCAATCTGTCTTTTAGTAAGGATAGATTACTCAAAGTCCTAGGTTTGTTTTTTTTTTCTTTTGTACCGGGGATCGAACTCGGGTCCTTGTGCTTGCAGGGCAGGCGACGGAACCACTGGGCTAAATCCCTGACTCTCAAAGTCCTAGTTTTTAGGGCCGGGGATTTAGCTCAGTGAGGGCGGGGGATTTAGCTCGGTGGTTTTGCCGCCTGCTGCCCAAGCGCAAGGATCTGAGTTCAATCCCTAGTACCAAAAAAACCCAAAAAACAAAAACAACAACAACAAAAATTTCAAAGTCCTAGTTTTTCCTTCAAGTTTTGTTTAAACTTCATGTTTACAATGAAAAAATTACTATTAAACGGTGAGATTTAACATCTCAATTTAATCTGAGACTTTGCTTTATGACTCTGGGATGGCTGACCAGTAGGGAACTTGGAAGCTACCATACATCCATCAAGGTAATTTCCCACCCCAATGAGTGTTTTACAATGCAATATTAAACCACACAACAACCTTATGAGGAAGAAATGATTATTCTTTTTTTTTTTTTGGTACCGGGCATCGAACTTCGGTCCTTGTGCTTGCGCAGCAGGCAGCGCAACCACTGAGCTAAATCCCCGGCCCAGAAATGATTATTCTTATTCTGTAGATGAGTAAACTGAATCCCAGAGACTAACTTGCCCAAGGTAATAACAGCTAATGAGGGAACTAGAATGCATGCCCATGATGATATAGTTTCAAGATCCGTTCTTTTCATAGGTTCATTTTTATATATATGCCTGACACACAATAGACACACTGATTACTTCAAATAAGTGAATTCTTGCTCTTATATGCCATGTCGCTTATGGTAAATTATCTAACTTCTTTGAAACTGTGTCCTCAGAATTTATGTGACTATTATTTAATGTTAACATATGTAAAAGACTTCACTCAGTATTTGGTCCCTCACAGTTGCTTTAAGGGCAACTCTCTTGTTCTGATCTAGGGTAGGTTTGAGGAAGTAACATCTCTGAAGTCGGTTTGAGGAAGTAAAGACTCCTACTTTAGCATATTCCAGCTAGCTCTGCCCAAACAGCTGCGATGTTGTTTGAGTCAGGCAAGGTTCCTGCCACACTTGAGCTTTAGTGCATTTAATCTCTTTCACCCTGTTTTTGGGGGACTGTCATTTTTCCTTGTTGCAGCTGTCTTTAGGCAGTTCCCCGCGTGCACAGTATTAGTAGTTCAGGCCGGCCACTGTCACCGTCAGGGGCCACTGTGTGTCGCCACTCTGCCTCTGCCGCCACTCCCCTTCTGGTCTGGAGAAGGGGGGGGGGGGGGGGGTGAGTGCCGGGGATTTGAAAAACGATGGAAGAGTGGGAACAAAGACACTCTGGAGTCTGCTACTTTTTTCGGTCTTTTTGTTTGTTGTTTTTTGTTGTTGTTTTTTTTGTTTAGTACCGGGGATCAAACTCGGGTCCTTGAGCTTTCGAGGAGGGCGCCGGAACCACTGAGCTAAATCCCCGGCCCTCGGTCTCTTTTGTTTTATTTTTAAATTTTGCAGTCTACAGCTTTTTGTCTTCTTCGTGTGTTTTCCTTTATGTTGTTCTCACGGTGAGTTCAGGATCCGCTGCTTTTCAGGCGGGTGACCTCGGTTACTGACCTCGGGCTCCGCTCTTCCTATCCCAGAGGCGTCGCGAAGACCAGGAGGCTGCTGACGGGAGCGTGGGACAGCGCCTCCCGCGAAAAGTCGGCATGTGACGGCCCCGGACCCACGAGTCACGCGTGGGGGGCGCGCCCTCCACACAGCGCGCCGCGGCTTCGCGACCCCCAGTCTCCCGCGAGAGAGCGCGCGGGATCCTCAGGCGGCGCGGCCCAGGGCGAGCGTGGGGGCGTGGCCCCAGCGGGATGGGCGTGGCCCCAAGGCTACCTACCGCCCCTCGGGGGCGGGTGGCAGGCGGGGCCGGCGCGGAGAGGTGGGGCCGGCGCGAGTGGGCGGGGCCCAAAGATGGAGTTGGGCGGGGCCGTCCTTGGGCGGTCCTCCGTGGGCCGGCAGAGGCGGGACCTGCCACGGACCTGTGCCCAGGAGAATCCCTCCGGCCGGCCACGGGGGGGCGGGCCGACTCCAGGAGCGGGCGGGGCAGGCAGGGGTGGGCGGGGTCTGAGGCGGGTCGCGCGGCGGGCGGGTCCGCCGCGAGAGGCGGGGCCTGGCGGGCCGGAGCGTCCCTGCGAGCGGCGTCGCGGAGGCTCGTGGGGCGCGCGGCGTCCGGGCCGGCGGATCTTGGGCTCTCGGCTTCCGTCCTGACCGGGCGGGGCCCGCGGCGCTCGTCTCCCGGCTCCTCGCGCGGCGCGAGTCTGCGAGATGGGCGACCCGGCGCGGCCGGAAGCGGGCCGGCCCGGGCAGGGCGAGGTGAGCGCCGCCTCGCGCGTCCTTCGCCCCCGGGCGCGCCGGCCTCGGTTCACGGTGCGTGGGGACCGCACCTCAGGCCAGCGGGGTCCTCCCGGGGCCCTCGTCGGTGCTCTCCTGCTCCTCACTCGCCTCCTTGCTCCCCAACCCCGGCCCCGAGGCTGAGGCCCGAGACCCTGTCTGGCAGAGAATCTGTGGGCCAGGACGGGTTGAGATGCCCGTGGGATTTGATGTGTTACTTGTTAAGCTCCTCCAGTCATTCATAAGTGTTCCACCAGTGGAAGTTCCTGTAGGTGGTTAGAGAAGGTGTTGATTGAATAATTGCTATAATACTTTGGGTATAGGAACAGCCTTTAAGAGGTTAACCAAAAACATCTCGGGAGTCAATAACATCATTCTTTTAAAAATGTACAGTACTAGGGGGGGGTCATGGTGGTGCACGCCTTGGGAGGCTGAGGCAGGAGGATCACTGAGAGTTCAAGGCCAGCCTGAAGTACATTTTTTGAGACCTTGTCTCAACAAAACAAAACACAGCATTTGAGAATGTGCAAAATGCTTTTATTTGTATTAGCTCCTCTAATCTTTTACCAGCTCTTTGAAATAAGTATGGCAAGTGTTATCTTTCCTTTACAGAATCAAGATTCAGAGTAAAAGATGTGACTGAGACCACAAATACTAGTGTGGTCTTGTAAGTGAAAACAATTTTGTATTATGCAGAACAATCTGAAAATGTACATAGGAAGAACAGATTGGTATATGTGAAGGTAAGGAACTGTCAGTTTAGTCTTAACTGAAAGTTTAGAATAAAAACAGTTGATGCCAGTAATCTGTTCCTGCCAGCATTCTGTATCAGAGTGGTACGGAAGGGACATTTTGTCCACAGACTTAGAGATGTGCACACATGGTATTTAGGGGTTTATTACTTGTCCCCCGAGTAGCAGAAACTGATAAGTTTTGAGTGTTTTCCATGCATCAGACTCTGTTTAAAACACTTAAAAGCTGGTAGGTGCATATTCTTTTTTTTTTTCTTCAGTTTTTTAAGACAGTCTCACTGTTAGTCCAGACTGGCCTTGAACTCACTATGTGGCCTAGGCTGACCTTGAACTCTAAGGGATCCTCCTGCCTCAGCCTCCTGACTGTAGACAGGTATTATTTTATAGCTGCAAGAACTGCAGCCCAGAGAAGTTAAGCAATTTCCTGCAGTCATGGGATGAGCCAAATACCACTGGCTGGCGAGAACTTGGCTCCAAGGCAGGGCCCCTGCCATCCAGACCAGTGGAGGCTCCGACATCCCCTGCTGGAGGGATCAGGAAAAGAGGAACAAAGGAAGAGGAGATGGCCTCATAATGACACTGTCTGCTTTGCTTTTCAGAGATTATCTCCAAATACCACCGAAAATGCAGTGAATTCTAATGAAGAGCCGCTTCTCAGAAAGAGCTCCCGCCGCTTCGTCATCTTCCCTATCCAGTACCCTGATATCTGGAAGATGTACAAGCAGGCACAGGCGTCCTTTTGGACGGCAGAGGAGGTAGGTGACACTTCCTACAGGACAGTGCTCACTTCCTGGATCCACTGAGTGAGGTCGGTTAGAACATAAGGTTTGGAGCCACTGAGACTAAACACAGCCTTCTTCACTCTTGCAGGTTAGACTGCTGTCTAGAGACACGTTTCCTGCTGCAAAGAGGCATCTAATTCTTCCCAGTTTTTACTTTTTATTTTTTCTCTTAAGTACTAGAGATTGAACCTAGCGCATACACCCTGAGGTGCATCCTTGACCTTTTAAAACATTTTTAAAATTTTGTTTTGGTACTTAGGCTGAGGCAGGAGGATTGCTGTGAGTTCGAGGCCAGCCTGGGCTACACATCAAGACCCTGTCTCAGAAAAATTTTGGGTTTTTGTTTTTTTGATAGGGTGTCACTAAATCAGTAAATTGCCCAGAGTGGGCTTGGAACTTGCAGTTCTCCTGCCTCAGCCTCTCAGAAGGCTGAGCTTAGAGGTGTGTGCCACTGTACCTAGCTCTGATTCAGATTTTTCAGATTTAGGGGGGATTGAACCCAGGGCCTTCATGCAGAGCTACAGCCTTAGCTCTTTTTATATATTATTTTGAGACAGTCTAGCGAAGTCACTAAATTTCCCAGGCCAGGCTTGAACTTGCAGTCCTCTGCCTCAGCCTCCCATCTCTCCTGGGATGAGAGGTGTGGGCCACCACAGCTGACTCAAGTTTTCTATTTTTAAGCAGACTTTTGGTTGCTATGGCAGGCTGTTTACTTAAGGTTGGCAGAGTGGACAAAGTTGAGGTTATGTATTGCTGAACAGTGAAAGCAAAGGCTGTGGGGGATCCTCCCTCCTGTCCCTGAAGTGGGTCTAGTCAGTTACTGTCTGATGGAGTGAAAGGGGAATCACACATAGAGGTTGACCCTGGGGGTGTGTGTGGGTGTAGGGCGGAGTTCACAGGGCTCTCATGGTTTGACTGGCAGATTCAGGACTGGCAGATTCAGGGCAGGGACGCAGCTTTGAGGCAGGGCGTCTGCCAAGGTCCACACAGGGGCCAGGCTTGGCCTGGAACCCAGAACCAAACCCAATGTAGCAATGGCAAACCTTTCAGTGATACAGACAGCCTGCTGTGGTCCGCATGCCATGGGTTCGCCACCACTGGCTTAAGGGACAGCAGTGGAACCCTTTCTGTTAGGGTGACATTTCCCTCTTAGGAAATGAGTCGATCAGCAATTTCTGCTACGTGCCCTGTGAGTAGGGACTGCGGGTCGTGCTGCACTCACCCTGGGGTGTCACAGGGCACAGGGATGGTTCCGCTCTGCTTGCTGAGCAGCGTTCAGGATGTGTGCCCACCCTGTTTCGTGTGCGCGTGTGCAGAGACGGATTCTGTGTGAGAACGCCCGTGGGGAACACAGGCTCTCGTCAGGCTGCCTGCACACAGGTCCCGCTGTGCTGCTCATCACCAGGGGTGAGGTCATGGCCTTGACCTCTCTGTGTCTTCCTTGGTCGGTCAGGCTGAGTACTAGACCTACTGGGTCATTAAGATTATTGGGATTTTTTTGTTTCCTTGTTTTGTTTTTTGTTTTTTGAGTGAAAGTCTTGCTTTGTAGTGCAGACTGGCCTTGAATTCAGAACCCAAGTGATCCTCCTGCCTCAGCCTGGGGAGTGTGGGGATTACAGCCCTGCGTGTCCATACTGGGCTCTGTTGAGATGTTTGGAATGGTAATTGGCACTCAGTAAGCATTAAATAATTGTAAACTGCTGCATTATTTACACAAAGAATGGGGCAGATTTAACCTAGAAACCACATAAGCACCGATCTTACCGATCTTACTGTTGTAGTCTCCTTTGTTGCACTGACATCTTTGCTATGTGGTGGTTGACACAGAATTAAAAATAGCAAACCAGAGTAAACACACCCGCGCTGCCACACCTGAGGTCCCTAACTGTCTGTGGTTTTCAGTGTTGTGTAAGACATGGTTCAGGGACCAGGGCCACACAGGTGGCTGTTTACTGTCGTACTGAAAGGTCCATAGGATACTTGGGTTTCTTGAGACTCATTTGGAAACTCCATTTATTTTTCGCAGTTGTAATAAATGTCCTCTTACCACTAAGAAACACTAATTTTTACGAACTAAAATGTACAGATTGACACATTTTGTAGGAAGATTCAAATATGTATTTTAAAGGGGAATCAAACACTTTTTAGTTTACTTGCTTTTCATTTAGACAAATTATATAAATTACCATTTCATCAACTTTAGTCCTTGTTTTATTTTTTTGTTTTGTGGTGCTGGGCATTGAACCTAAATCCCCAGCCCTTTCTTTATTTTTTTATTTTTTAAAAATTAATTTTAGGGCTGGGGATTTAGCTCAGTGGTTTCGCCACCTGCTGTGCAAGCACAAGGACCTGAGTTCGATCCCCAGTACCAAAAAAAAAAAAATTAATTTTATTGGTACATTTTAGGTATACAATATAATGACATTCATCATTGGAGATTTGTACCTTTACATAATCCATCTTGATTCTTATTTTTCCCCATTCCCCTGCCCTCTCTTCAATCCCTCCATCCCTCCCTATTTACAAAAACTTTTGTTTCCATTTTTTCTTTTTCTCATATTAATTCCATTCCCTTCTTTCCTTTCCCCTACCCCTCCCACCTCCCCTTCCCCTTTGCCCCTTTTCTTCCTATTTCACATTATCTGTTATACCTTTTAGTCCTTATTGACACTTCCAGTTTCTCACACCAGAGAAACTATTTGTTATTTACACATGTGTGTCCTATTTATTTTACTTAATAGTATGGCCTCAATGTGCATCCATTTAACTATAAAGGTCTCTAACACCCTTTCTTTATTTTGAAACAAGGTCTTGCTAAGTTGCCCAGGCTGTCCTCTAGCTTGCTATCCTTCTGCCTCAGCCTCACAAGTAGCCAGGACTCCCTTGTTTAATCAGTGGTTGAACTTAATTTCCAAATAGTAAACCTTTATTCAAAAGACAAAGGCCTGGGGTTTGGGAATTCTTTTTTTAAAGCTACCTGGGCAATTTTGATGATCAGCTAATATGTTAGATTTCCAGTGCTGTGACAGAGTTGAGAATCAGAGAAAATCAACTCAGAGAAGAGGGAGGGGCAGGGTCTCCAAGCCCTCAAGGGGTCAGCTCTAGGCCCCTTGCTTCCTCCGGCCTCCCCTCCTGGATGCTTCACCACCTCTGCATAGGCCTCTTGGGTCTCCAGGGGACATCTGAGATCCAAGCAAATAAGGTAGGTACAGTATCGCCAGCGCTTGGGAGGCAGAGGCAGGAGGATCGCCTCAAGTTCAAGGCCAGCCTGGAATACACAGCAAGATCCTGTCTCAAAAAAAAACAAAAACAAAAAATAATTTTAAAAAAAGATCCTATCGATGGCAGTTGGTTTGGAGTCAATATTTAGACGGCAGAATTGAGCATTTGCTCAAATGAGGTAAAGCTAGGGAGGAAGATTTATGTTTCTGGAGGGGAATATGATAAACGCATAAATAAGATTTATGAGATATTTTGAAGCTGAGTGTTTAAAGAGAGACGTTTACATCTTAAGAACAAGCACTTTAACATTAAAATTTGCTATCAGGAGTGTGATACAGAAGATACCCTCCCAGTAAACGTGAGCTGAGCTCCTGCTGCATTTTAGCCGAGGGATGTTTTGAGATGGAGACAGATGTTCCCTCACTCCTCCGCCCGGCCCCGAGTTCAGCGTCTGGCCTGTGTGAACTGCTCAGCAAACACTCAGATGATCCTGGGCAGAAGAGTTGTGGAGAACGCAGTGGCGAAAAGGGCGGAGCCCCAATCTTCCGGGTGTTAGGTGGAAACCCCGGAGACTTCAGGACGACAGGGCCCAGCCAGAGCCCCAGCCGCGTGCCGAGCTCAGCCCCGCGCCATGGGATCTGGTGGGGCCGGGAGGTCCTGAGGCAGGGACCTTGGAGAAGAGAAGATCCACCTGCTCGTGGGGCGTGGCGAGAAAGCACAGGAAGCAGTGGCCTGCCGGCTGTCCCGGCTCCTGGCTCAAAGCCCTGGATGCCGAGAGCCATGAGGGTACGGTAGTTTGGTACAGCAGCCAGGGCCGACCGCGAGACAGCAAGGTCATCTGACAACACGTTTAAAATTGTAGATTTTGCGACGATGGCGGCGTAGCTACGCTGCATACGAAGCGCAATGATGGTCTCCTCTCTCGGGCCGACCGACCGGGGCTGGGGAGCCTGCTGGGGAGCGAAGCAGAGCCCTGGTAGCTGCCGCCGCCTTCTCTGCAGCGCGAGCCGCTGTACAACTGGCAGGCGACCAAGGACCAAGGCGTCGCTGAAGGAGCGCTTCGCCTTCCTCTTCAACTCGGGCTGCTGAGCGACGTGGGCTTCGTGCTGGGCAAGGGCGGCGGGGCGGCCGGCAGCGCTGTCTTCCACGCCGTGTTTAACGGCGGCAGGGCCACCACGTCGGCCGAGATCGAGCTGCCGGATGTGGAGCTCGCCGCCCTCCTGGCGCTGCTCAGATTTCTGTATTCAGATGAAGTTCAGATTGGCCCAGAAATAGTCATGACCCCTCTGTATACTGCTAAGAAATACACTGCCCCAGCCTTGGAAGCACCTTGTGTGGAATTTCTCACCAAATATCTCAGAGCAGATAATGCCTTTATGTTCCTTACTCAGGCGCGATTATTTGATGAACCTCAGCTTGCGAGTCTCTGTCTAGACACAATTGACAAGAGCGCTGTGGATGCAATCAGCGCAGAAGTACTGACATTGATATGGACACACTGTGCAGTTCTAGAAAGAGGCACACTAAGCATTCGAGAAAGTCGACTTTTTGGAGCTGTTGTATGCTGGGCAGAAGCAGAATGTCAGAGACAACAACTGCCAGTGACTTTTGGAAATAAAGTTTTCGGAAAAGCACTTTTGGTAATCCGCTTCCCACTGATGACAATTGAAGAGTTTGGAGCAGGTCCTGCTCAGTCTGGCATCTTGTCAGACCATGAAATGGTGAAGCTCTTTCTTCGCTTCACTGTCAACCCCAAGCCCCGAGTGGAGCACATTGACCGTCCACGGTGCTGCCTGCTAGGCAAGGAGTGCTGCATCAACAGGTTCCAGCAGGTGGAGAGCCGCTGGGGCTACAGTGGGACCAGCGACCGGATCAGGTTCACAGTTAAGAATCTCCATAGTTGGGTTTGGCTTATATGGATCTATCCATGGTCTCACGGATTATCAAGTGAATATACAGATCATTGAATATGAAAAAACCAAAATGATACCGGGTTTAGTTGTGATGGGACTTCTAACACATTCAGAGTCATGTTTAAGGAGCCTATAGAGATCCTGCCCAACATGTGCTGCACAGTGTGTGCAACCCTCAAAGGTCCAGATTCCCACTGTGGCACAAGAGGGCTGAAGAAAGTTGTGCATGAGACACCTGCTGCCAGCAAGACCGTTTTCTTCTTTAGTTCCCCTGGCAACAATAATGGCACTTCAATAGAAGATGGACAAATCCCAGAAATAATATTTTATACACAATTAGCATTATAATACATCTTGGCTAAATAGTACCTTCCACACAGTCTAGACTCAGACATATAAATAACTGGCCACAGAAAAAAGTTTTTGAGTATCAAGAATATTTATGATTGTAAGATAAGAAACATTTTAGTTTCTTAGAAGAAATAGAAAAATGTTTATTTAAATCTCTGCATGATTTAAAGGCAGGTTTTCCCCTTTTTGTCACCTTAGGGGACTAGAGCTAGGTTTAATTGTGTAAAATAATGCAGCTGTTTCAGCTGCTTCCTGTATCATTTCGTTGTCAGCTAACACATGGTCTTTCAGTAGTTTTGGAATTGAAAGATTCTTCTTACACATAGGCAGTCTGTTTTCTTTATTTTTAACTTTTGAAAGATGAGGTGGGCCAGTATTCTTGCAGAATTGCTATTAAGTCAAATAACTAATTTCAGAAAATTAGGAAAACTGGCTTTATAGTTGAGATTTATTTTTTTATTTTTAAAAAAATTTTTGGTATTGGGGATCGAACTCAGGTCCTTGCGCTTGCACAGCAGGCAGTGAAACCACTGAGCTAAATCCCCGACCCTATATTTGAGATTTAAAAATATCTGCTAGCTAACATTTGGAATAATGCTAAAAATAGGCCTAATAATGCCCAAGAAAATTTTCAATGTATTTACAGAAAAGGATATTTTGTAATAGTATAGTAATGCGTTACATAGTATAGTGTTCAAACTAAATGGATTTTGTATACATTCACAATAATGTGGTATATACAAAGTCTCTAAAGGTTGACATAAGCCTGGATCTTTATCATTCAGCTGTATCACTATACCTGCCTATCTGTATGGGGTGCTGCTGATGAGTCCCAAGACTGAGCTGATGGTGGTGACTGATGATTGTTTAAAGATACTGCTTCAACTTTGTGATCATCCCACACGGCAAGAAATGGAACACGGTTACTAACATTTCTAACAGCTTCTTTGAAATTAATTATAAAGCTATTCAACAGAGTCACTCCTGCCAGAAAGTATGCTTTCTATCACGTAGTTCTATTCAAGAAGTAAAATATTTTTAATATTTGTGACCTCATGAATGTGACCAGCATATCTATGTTAGGAGGAAGTAGGAAATATATACGGTAGAGTGACATTTATACTTTTATAAACAGCAGATTTTTAAAATATAAATAACTTTTCCCTTGAAAGTGACTATCCTAAAAAAACGTGTAATTTAAGCTTAAAGTATATCAGATATTTGTGGAAGATGACAAAAAGATTCAGTATCAAGAGAATTTTTCTAAATAGGAAGTAAAAATTTTTCATCAAAAGTACTATTTCATTATACATTTTTAACAAGGTAGTGAGATGTGTTGATGGCCAAGGTCTCTTGAAATTGAAGAAAAGGGAAAATTTTCTGTCTCGTGTATCATGTCCTTATGGATATAACTCTCATTTTACGGGAATACCTATGGAATGTGTGGTTCTGGTTAACTAAAGATTAACTGGCAAACATTCAGTAGTAACCATTACCAAAATACTTCCACCTTTTAAAATATGGTATGCCAGAGATAAGTTAGAGGGAGATTTTGGCGTTTGAGGCATTTCACATGCCTTCTGTGTTATACTGAACACTTGTAACTGAAAGTAGCCATAGAAGGTACATACAAGAAACAGAACTCTATTGATACCGGGAAATCACCTGGAACTTTTCAGAAATAAATGTATATTATCCTTTAAAAAAAATTGTAGATTTTGCCAAATTCTAGAGCGCGTCTCTGTTAATTCCAAGGATAGTTCTAATGGGAGTAGAAATACTCCTGTCCCCTGGGGAAGTCCTACCTGTAAACTGTGAAACCGATGGCTGCCGCCTGCTATCGCTTCTGAGTAAAGCAAATCAGTAGCGTAGCAGCTGCGGTCAGTTAGCAGGCACTTCATTGTCTAACTCCATAGTGAATACAGTGCCACATAAAGTGCTGCAGTAGCCGGGATGTAGTTCAGTGGCGTCGTGGGTGCGTGCCTGCCTGACAAGTGCAAGGTCCTAAGTTCAATTCCCGGTACTGAAAAAAAAAAATTGCTACAGCAGCAGCTGCTAAAACACAGTGCGTGGTTTACTTACCTTTCTTTGTCTGGACTAGTTTGTGTTCCCTTCCCACTCAGTCCTTTCCTCTGCTCCAGGGGCAGTGGATAACTCAATTATAATATGTGTAAAGTGTGTGCCGGCCAGCTTCTCCATTAGCCAGAAAGTTGGATTCCTTCGTAATGTGTCCTTTTCTTGGAAGTAAATGTTATTGGGTATATTTAAGGTATACAACATGATGTTAATATTCATAAGTAGGCATGGTGGCACATGCCTATAATCCCAGCTACCTGGGAGGCTGAGGCAGGAAGATCACAAGTTCAAGGCCAGCTTGGGCAACTTAGGGATATATCCCGTCTCAAAATACAGAAAAAAATAGATCTGGGGTTGTAGCTCAGTGGTGTAGTGCTTGCCTAGTGTTTCGGCTTGTATCGAGATGCCCCCAAAGCCTCATGCAGTCACAGCTGGGGCTCTTTGGAGGTGGCTGGATCTAGGGTGTGAGATGCTGGGATCAGTGATGCGATGCTGGGATTGATTCACAGTGTGGTGCTAGGATTGCGGCTGGCCCACCCTGGGTGTGAGTGCTACTCGTCCTAAGCTTGGATAAAATATAAAGGAAAGAGAGTCACTGCTTGTCTCTTGTCACCTGCTGCCTTCTGCCTGCCCTGCTACAAACTGTTTCTCCTCTGTGATGCCCCTCAGCCATGCCCCCCTGCCTTGGAGCCAGCTGCTTAAGGACTGAAACCTCTATAAACTGTGAGCTAAATAATCCTTTCCTCCTTTAACTTTGGTTGTTGGGTATTTTGTCTCAGCAACGAAAGAGTAACTAAGACACCTAGCATTTGTTGAGGCCTTGGGTTCAATCCCCAGGATGACAAAAACAAACGAACCTGTGCACACACAGCCATATACCTAGTGGCTGTGTGTTTATATGTGTATAAAATGCGAGTGTGCGCATTATATATGGTGTGGTCATCACTGTAGCATAGACGAATGAGTGCACTTGCCATCTCACGTAGTAACCCACTTCTCTCCTCTGCTTGGAGTACCTGTAATCTTGTTTAGCAAATGCCCCAAATATAATGCACCAATTTTAACATAATTCTTTTGTTTGGCTTTGTCTTTTTTTGCATGTGAGGTTTTGGGTTAGGTTGTTTGTTTTGAGACAGATTCTCACTGTGTAGCTCAGGGTGGCTCCAACTTATGTGTTGTCCAGGCTCGCCTCGAACTCCTGATCCACCTGCCTTGGCCTCAGAGTGTTGAGTGCTGGGATTGCAGGCATGCCTGTGCCACTAGCTGGCTAGTTTGTCTTTTTGTGATGTGAATATTTTTTGTTTTTCACAGTTTACTGCTAATGGGATATTGCTCCTTAACTTTGGGGTATAAGGTAGCTTCCAAACTCCCACTCCCAGTTAACACTTTTGAAAATCTTTTTATTCCAGGTTGACCTATCAAAGGATCTGCCTCACTGGAACAAGCTCAAACCCGATGAGAAGTATTTTATCTCTCACATCTTAGCCTTTTTTGCAGCCAGTGATGGAATTGTAAATGAAAATTTGGTAAGACTTTTGTTATGTTGTACTGGTGTTCCATTCAGCATTTAAATTATGATAATGTCAGTAAGATCATTTGATTGAGCCTGAGAAAAGATGCCTAAATAATAGACTAGGTGAAGCTTTTACTTCTGGAAAATGTTTTTCTGATGAAGCATCAGAAGAAAAGATAGATTTTTGCCATTTGACCAGCAACATATTATAAAATCAACTGTGAGTTGTATCAATTAAACCTACGTGCAGTCCATAGACTTATTTTTTTTGGTACCGGGGATCAAACTCAGGACCTTGTGCTTGGAAGGCAGGTGGCAGCACCACTGAGCTAAATCCCTTGCAGTCCATACACTTGACTTTGTATGTGTGTTTTGAGATAGGGTCTTGCTGTGTAGTCCAGCTGGCTTTGAACTCACTATGTAGCCCAGACTGGCCTTGAACTTGTGGCAATCCTCCTGCCTCAGCTACCTTCCTGAGTGTGGGGATTATAGGTGTGCACCACCATGCCCAGTTTTGAAATTTTTATCCTTAGACAATAACCCTAATAGAGAATGTGCCCCTTCATAACCATCCTGAGCTCTGAGGAGAACACGGGGTTCTGGCTTCCAATGTAAGACCCTGTATTGAGCTGGGGCGTAGCTCAGTGCAGTGTGCTTGAGGCCCTGGGTTTGGTCTCCAGTGCTGGAAATAGTGGCCAGTCCCTATAATCCAAGCACTGTGGGAAGCCGAGATAGGAGGACCTCAAGTTAGAGCCTAGCCTGGGCAACTTAGGGCTTAGTGAGTTCTGTCACAAAATTAAAAAAATTTTCAGAAGGGCTGGGGATGTAGCTCAGTATGAAAGCCCCGAGTTCATTCCCTGGTACCACTCAGTAAATAAGTGCAGATGTGTTATGGTTGATCAGGAAGCATAGTTTCTGATTAGAATAGAGATGTGAATGTCCATCATGGACTAGAAGAGTCTTTAACAGATCTGCCTACTGTCAGAAAAAGAATTCTGCACAGAAAAACCATTGTTTTTTGGTACCGGGGATCCAACTTGGGACCTTGTGCTTGCGAGACAGGCGGCGGCACTGCAGCTAAATCCCTGGCCTACCAAAACCATTTTTGGCGGATGTCTGAATGTGTTTGGCGCTGTGGGCAGTCTCTGCATTGACAGATAACTCATGTGGGAATGTGCTTCTCAGCTACTGTACTGGGGGGCTGGGTGGAGGAGCAGTGCTGCATGAGAGCCTGCACGGTGGGCCACGAGGTCTGCCTGGCCCGGTTGCCGTGTGACTGGCGATTGGAAGTGCCAGTTCTGATGTGAGATTTGCGGCGCTGAGCCTGGGGACCTGGGAGAGCCCACCCCTTGGAGCTGTTTCCTGTGTTTCCTCAGGTGGAGCGGTTCAGCCAGGAGGTGCAGGTCCCCGAGGCTCGCTGCTTCTACGGCTTCCAGATCCTCATTGAGAATGTTCACTCCGAGATGTACAGCTTGCTCATAGACACTTACATCAGGGACCCTGAGAAGAGGTATTGCGCCAGGATTTCGTCGACAAAACCTTCCCCCATTACTTATGTTACAGGCAGGGTTGATCCCAGAACTAAATGTTAAGGAAAGACAGGGAAGTTTGAGTATAATGTTTCATGGTGCTCTTTAATGTGGGGTAGCCGGGCATGGTGGTCCACACCTCTAATCCCTGCAGCTCAGAAGGCTGAGGGAGGAGGATTGCACACCTGGTGCAATTACTGTCTTTGATTAAGCTATTAAAATTTTGTCCATTTAGAAAAGCAAATGTGCTGGGCATAATGGTGCACACCTGTAATCCCAGCACTTGGGAGGCTGAGGCAGGAGGATCAAAGCAAGTTCGAGGCTGTCCTGGGCTACATAGTGAATTCAGGACAGGCTGAACTGCATAGCGAGACCCTGTCTCAAAAAAAAAAACTAAAAAAAAAAAAAAAAAAAAAAAGCTAATGAATGACTTGTTCATGAATTCTTTTGTTTTTACAGGGAATTTTTATTTAATGCAATTGAAACAATGCCATATGTTAAGAAAAAAGCAGACTGGGCCCTGCGGTGGATAGCAGACAGAAAGTCTACTTTCGGTTTGTAGCTCTAATAAATTCCTCATCAAACTTGCCCCAGGGGACCCGAAACTATTTTCTGTGATATCACTGTTTGGAAAAGGATGCATAGGCCTCTACTTGGTCCTTTAGTAGAATCACTACTTTTGATGATTAATTAGAAACCACTGGTAAAAAAGCTGTTATTTATTCTATTTTTTTTCAAGTGAATGTTTTATTAAATGCAGACTAATATTTTGTATAGTATGTGAGTGTACATAATAAATTACAATGTATATATTTATTAAATATAGGTAGATATAATAACCAGAACATGGTTATTTCAGATGAGAAATCAAACCCATTTTAATGTATCTTTTGGTCACTCCAAATTGATACTGCTTATAAAAAATACATCAGTTTTCCCTGGGGAAAAAAATTAATTCCATAGCAGTGTAGTTAAGGGACATGTTTTTATTTCATAGCTTTATGCAAGCAAAAATTGCTTTGTTACGAAATGAGTTCAATGATACAGGTGCTGCTGTCCACTCAGGCGAAAGAAAACCTCATATTTATACGACTGCACTTTATGATTATATTCTTGCAGTGTAATGGGCTTGGTATCCAGGATGCCTCTGGCTGGCTGCTTTTAAAGCCGTGGCACAGAAAAGCTGCCCCGTACTTGAGCATCGTGGTACTGGCAAGTGCTTAAGTAACTCTGCCCAGCTGTATTTATTCTATTTAGAATTTGAAAAGTTAAGGTGTTGGTGCACAGTGTAACAGAGAAATTAACATCCATCACATAGGCACTGATAAGAGTACTATAACAGTCTGCAGTTTGTACTCGCTTTTAAGAATGTTTATTTTATTTTATTTAATTTTTAAATTTTATTTTATTATTTTTGGTACCAGGGATCGAACTTGGGTCCTTGCACTTGTGCAGCAGGGGGCGAAACCACTGAGCTAAATCCCAGGCCCAAGAATGTTTATTTTAGAATAGCTGGACGCAGTGGCACACACCGGTCATCCCAGCACTTGGGAGGCTGAGGCAAGAGGATTGCTGTGAGTTCATGGCCAGCCTGCACTACTACATAGCAAGACTTTGTCTGAAAAAAAATCAAACAAACAAACAAGAATGTTTATTTTTAGATTGAAAGCCAGTCAGATCTCAACGCTGAGTGTGGAAGGCCGTCTGTCTGAGGTCGGATCTGGAGCAGACAGACCTTTCTGTTCTGCCAGTAGAGGTGGAAAATTCCCTCTCGGAGGGCCCTTGGCCATGATGTCAGCTTGTTTATTTCTTGGTGAGATTAGCTGTTCAGAAGGTGACACCTCTTGTTTTGCAGGGGAGAGGGTGGTGGCCTTCGCGGCCGTGGAAGGAGTGTTCTTCTCGGGGTCCTTTGCGGCCATCTTCTGGCTGAAGAAGAGAGGCCTCATGCCGGGCCTCACCTTCTCCAACGAGCTCATCAGCAGAGACGAGGTAAGGTGTGGGGCTCTCCTGTCGTGTGTGGCTTTGATTTGGGCTCATGTGTGTGTGTGTGTTCGTCATTCTCCTTCCCTGAGAGCGCTTGTGATGACGAAGGTGCCCTTGGTAACTAATGCAGAGGAGCTGCCAATCCCTTCGTCCGTCACTCTGGTCACTGCGCGACACGGTGCAGCTGCCGTCTGAGTGCTCGCCTGTTAGGTGTTTCTTCCCGAAGACTGCTGGTGTCTCCAGCCTGCGTTTCAGAAGCCAGACTCAGCATCTTTCTCCAGTGCTTTCTCCTCCCGTTTTTGTTGTCACAGTGAGGGTTGCTGCTGTCTCTTCAGTCTGCGCTTGGAAGTCTGGGATGCTTTAAGTCGCCTCTGCTCGAGGTGCCCAGTCATCCCCGGGTCTTGCCCCTCAGCCTACAGGGCCCTTTCCACTTTTCCCACCTGTTGGTCACCTCCTCTCAGGAGGCATTTCAGGTGAGGTGAAAGGGCCACTGGTTCTCAGGAGGTGCCCTATGGGGTCCGAGCCTGCCGCCGTCCTGGTCCGTGACATGCGCCCTCCTCCCTGCTAGGCTCTGGCTCCGGCTCCCAAGTGGTGACCTGGTCTTGCTTGTCCTTCTCTCAGTGCGGTGGACTCGCTGATCTCGGCTCCTTCACTTATTTCTCATGGCCTTGTTGAGTTAATCTCACGTCTGTGAGCCTCAGTTTCCTCAGCTCTGAACCCTAACAGGACTTTGTTAGAACGCAGGAAAGTAGGATACATGTATTAAAATGTTAAGTGCCATAAAGGCTAGAAATAATTACCCTTTGCTGTTTGATGTCTTTACATTTTTAATAACTTACTATAAATGTCATGTAGGATTACATAAAATTTAGAGAATAAAAATGCATCTCAACACAGAGATAATCATGTTTACAATTTTATTGTATTTCTAGACATTTTTCTACATTTGAATTCATGTATATATAGTACATGAACATTATATTTTCCCAATTCATAGTTTTGTGAATTTTATGTTCTTCCACTTGACAAAACATTGTGAGCATTTTTCTATGATAGTAAACATTTTTTGAAACAGTTTTATTAGGTAATATTCTAATGAATGAGTGTATCTTTACTGTAATTAGAAATTTGTTATTGACATTTTCATTTGTCTATGTTGTTACAGTAAAATGAATACTTTGTATATAAGCTTTGTCCCAACTTCATATTTTTAAAAAACTCATTCACAAAAAGTAGAATTAGCAGGTTATAAGACCATTCATACTTATTTGTAAACTTTTTAATACAAATTTTATAGGAATTTTCAACCTCACTTAGTGTATGAACTTTTTCTTACTATATGCTCACCAGAATTTGCATTATTTTGCTAGACACTTGACAAATTTGATTGGCATAATTAGCGTCTCATTTGTTTTTATTTGCATTTCTTAGGTTGAACTTTTTTCATAATGAGGTTGGTCATCTGTATTTTTTCTGTAGTTACCTATTCTTGTCTTTTGCCTTTCTTTCTAATGTGATATTAATACTTTCTTTATGTAACTATGAATGTTCTTTCTTTTTTTTTGGTACCGAGGATCAAACTTGGGTCCTTGTGCTTACGCAGCAGGCAGCAAAACCACCGAGCTAAATCCCCGGCCCCTGTTCTTAATATTTTAAAGTAGTCTGTAATCCTTATAGGAAGTCTCTATGGTAGTCTATAATTTACAGGAAGTCTCTATCTTAGCCTATAACTCTTAGGAAGGATTCATGCTTGCCTTGCTTATTGGTATATTCCTGAAGTATAGGGACTAATTAGACTCTTTCAATGAGTATTTATTTCCTGAATTTGTTATGCTTATTTGCTACATTTGTTGCATGAATATAACATAAAATATGAATTTTGTTAGTTATTTTAAATGTTTTCCCAGTTTGTCCTTTGCTTTTTAGTTTTTTTTTTTTTTTTTTTTCTTTTTTTGGTGTCAGGGATCGAACTTGGGTCATTGCGCTTGTGAAGCAGGTGCCGGAACCAATGAGCTAAATCCCTGGCCCTGCTTTTTGGTTTTGTTAACATATAACATCTTATATTGTATGTAATCTACTTCTGTAGATAAATGATCACACACATTTTCATCTTAGCTTTTTAACATTTAACTCCCTAGTGCAATTGGAAATTGTTTAGGTTAAGTATAGAATGTAATAGATGGTATAAAGTTAGAATTTAACTTGATTTCATTTATTTATTTATTTTGGTTGTTTGAAGACAAGGTCTTGCTATGTAGTTCAGACTGGCCTTGAACTTACTTGAACTCAAGACAGTCCTACCTCAGCCTCCTAAATGCTGGGATTGTACACTTGGCTTTAACTTAATTTTAATTTAAACATTCTTGGAAAGATTTTCCAATTTTCATTATTAAGTAATCCATTCTTTCTCCACCGACTTGGCTGTCTTCTTTATTATACATTAAGATTTTACTATACTAAAATCCATTTCCTGGTTATTTTTCTTGCCTCACTGATTACCTCTTAGATTTCATGTCATAACAAACTTTTTTGAGGGGGGGGAACTGGGGATTGAACTCAGGACCTTGTGCTTTCGAGGCAGGCAGCAGAACCACTGAGCTAAATCTCCGGCCCCAAACTTTTAATTATTGTAGTTGTATATATTTTGTCATGGGGAACAAACTCAGGATAGTGCAACTGAGCTAAATCCCTGGCCCCAGTTGTATATATTTTAATAATTGGTAGAATAAATCTCAAAACATTCCTTTTTAAAGCATTCTTGTAAGGTCCTGCCCATTTGTTCTTCCAGATTAGTTTTAAAATTAAATACAGTTCTGTGGGGATTTTGGTTGGTGTTGCTTTGAACCTCAATGAATTTCGTTCATTCATGATCCGACAGTCTCTGATGGGTGGCTGCTGTTGGGTAACCTGTGCAGGCTTCCAGAGCTGCCTTGACTCTTGCCTGTGGTCATTTGAAGTGTGCATTCCCCATGAGTCACACTTGCAGAAAAAATATGTACTAGTAAATTTCCTCACAGTACTTGTGTTCGGGGAGGTAGGTTTTTAAATATCATTTCTCCTGGGAATGACAATTTAAGTAGGTGAATGATCCTTAGATGCAACCCTTGATACGTGCATGGGTCTTTGAATTCTTGGGCTTTCTGTTGAGTGAGTTACGGAACGCTAAGCAGCTCCGACCTGTAACCCTGTAGGGTTCCCTTGCTTGGTGCTCTGGCTTGTTTCCTTTGCTGTTTGGAAATGCTGCCTGGCTTCCCTTGGCGTCGGTTTCTAGACGGTAACTTTGTTGGGAGTTCCGTCATCTTCCTCTCTGTGGCCTCTTTTTCTGTTGTTTTGAATTTGTGAAAATGGCCTCATGTTGTTCTTTGATGCCCAGCTTTGCACCCTCTGTTCTGTGTGTTGGAATCCCGGCTCAGTTGACTCTCCTTGGTCTGTTGTCTGGTCACTTAAGATTTTATAATATTTCTGTGTTTACATGATCGTCTTATTAAAGGGGTGTTTCGTATGTTTGCTTTCTTGTCTGGTTGAGTTATATGCAGTGCCATCTCTGTGTTTACCACTTCGGATGGTATTCACCATACTGCATGTGCCATTTTCATTGCACTGAGTTTATTTTTATTTTGATGTGTGTGTGTGTGTGTGTGTGTGTGCGCGCGCATGTGCATACATGCCAGTGTGATGCTAGGGGTTGAACCCAAAGCCTGACACATGCTAGGTGAGCATTCAACCCCTGGGCTACATCCCTAGCCCTTTTTTCAAATTTATTTTGAGCCAAGCGTGGTGGCGAATGCCTGTAATTCCAGCACTTTGGTGGCTGAGGCAGAAAGATCACCAGTTTGAGGTCAGCCTGGACTGCATAGTGAGTTCAGAGCCAATCTAGTCTACCTACACGGTGAGACCTTGCTTAAAAATAAAAAGATTTATTTTCAGAAAGGGTCTTACTTTGTTGCCCAGACTGGCCTCGAAATTGCAAGCGCCCTGCCTCAGGCTCCCAAGTAGTTGGGGTTCCACGTACCCCCATGCCTGTCTCGAGCTGTTCTTATTTAATATAAATGTTCTTTTTAAAACCTCTGATTGATCTGTTCTTTAAATACTTACTATTTTTGAATCATTCCTTAATTTTTTTTGACACCTAAAAGTTGATGAAGTTCAATTTGGCTATTATAGTTTGTTTTCCTTCCTAAAATGCTTTTGGTTACAGGTTTTTGTTTGTAAACCAATTATTTTTTATGTTTATTTATTTATTTTTAGCTTAAGTATTATAGTTTTTAAATTAAGCTTATTGGTACATTTTAGGTATATAATCCGATGACATTAATCATTGGAAATTTGTACCTTACATGATATATCTTGGTTCTTATTAAAAGCAATTGCTACAGTTTAGATCTTTTTTTTCTCTTGGTACCAGAAATCGAACTCAGGTTCTTGTGCTTTCAGGGCAGGCGTGGTGCCGCTGAGCTAAATCCCCAACCTTATCACATTTAAAAAAATTTTTAAAATGTTTTTGATACCTGGGATCGAACTCAGGACCTTGCACTTGTGAGGCAGGTGCAGCACCACTGAGCTAAATGCCCTGCCCTCGTTCTTTTTTATTGTTGGTGAGCTATGATTTGCTGGCATTGACCGTTGGTTTTTTTTTTTTGGTACCAGGGGTTGAACTCGGGACCCTGCGCTTTCGAGGCAGGCGTCGGAACCACTGAGCTAAATCCCCAGCCCTGGCATTGACAGTTTTAATTATACGTTGCTGGGCTGGCATTTAATAAGCTTTGAAGGAGAGCCGTCCCTGGCCTTGCGTGCATGTGTCCCTGGCCTCAGCGTCTTTAGAGCTCGGTCTCCCTGCGTGCAGACATTGATGGGGTGCTCCTAACGACGCCTCTGTCCCCTGTGTAGGGACTTCACTGTGATTTTGCCTGCCTGATGTTCCAGTACTTAGTGAACAAGCCTGCAGAGGACCGGGTCCAGGAGATCATCGTGGATGCTGTTAGAATTGAGCAGGTGAGGGGTTGTGTACTTGACACATCTTTCTCTCTCTGATGTCTGTACCATTATTAGGTTACTATGTTTGAGTTTTTATTCAGCTTTTAGTTTTTTAAATTTTGAGGTGAGGGTTCACTGTATTGCCCAGGCTGCCCTCAGACAGGCTCCAGTGACCCACCCACCTCTGCCTTCTAGTCCCTCGGATGCTGCACCTGGCTGTAGCATTTATTTTTATTTTTATATTTTTATTTTTTGGTGTTTTTGGGACAGGATCTCACTGTGTAGTCCAGGCTGGCCTTGAATTCACTACTTACCCTAGTCTGGCCTCGAACTCAAAGTGATCCTCCTGCCTCACCCTCCTGAGAGCTAGGATTACAGACGAGTGTCATCACGTCTGGCTGTGTAGTAGTATTCTATTTGACTTGTGAAATTGTCATTTTGCTAGTCAAAACAAGTATCAGCACATTTGTGTAGTCAGTTTGACAATACTGATACTTGATGTATTGCAATTTTTATATCAGTTCGTAATTTGGCTTATAAGTCAGTCTTTGTTATATATTAAAATTTTCTATGTAAGTAAAATCTGTTTCAGTGTGGTTTTTCTGTCTCTTTTGATTTTTTCTGTCAGATTACGGTAGCTTCTTATCTCCAGATTATTAATGATGTTTCTTGCTCTGTATTCTCTGTATCTGGCAGGCCCTGGGGTGGACCCGGGTGCCGAATGTCTATAGAATGAATGTGGAAATGAGTCAGGGAGGAGTCACTTAATTCAGGGCATGGAAAGAGTTCTCTGATTGGGAAAACCAGATGCTTCATTTAGGGATTTGCTGTTATTCTGAAGAACTTCAAATCTGCTTCACCTTCTAACACTGCATGGTTTGCAGGCATGATTTTCATGTTGGGAGGGGAGGCCATGCATTTTGGTTCCTTTCACCATTTTGAGAACTCAATGCCAAGTGGTTAGTGTGTTGTGTTCTTCTCTGTCACCACGGTCTTTCAGCATAGTTGGAGTTCGGCTTCATCCCGAGCCCTAACCTGTCTCTGTTTTTTGTCACAGTCTTTGTTTATCGAGTCCCTCCCTTCCACAGTCCTGCCACCCATGACCGTTACCTTTAGTGAATCTTTTCTAGGTATCTCAGAGTGGAGCCTGTCCTTTTTTCTACTGAGGAAACATGAATGCATGCCCTCCATGCACTGCCCCCGGAGCTTCAGCAGTTTGGGGCTTGTGTGTACTTTTGCTCGTGGAGAGGGGAGAGGCGCAGGATGTTCCGGCACTGCCAACAGTGGCCTGGCGGAGTCTGCCCCGCACTTGCCTGGGCCAAAGGGTGTTCCTAAACCCAAGCCACTCCCTCCCTGGAGACGTCCATCATTTGCTGTCCCTTACTTCATTCTGTTTCTGTTTGCCCCAGGAGTTTTTGACGGAAGCCCTGCCAGTCGGTCTGATCGGGATGAACTGTGTTTTGATGAAGCAGTATATTGAGTTTGTGGCAGACAGATTGCTGGTGGAACTGGGATTCTCAAAGGTAGGGGGTCTTACATGGGTTGCTGCCAGTTAAAATGGTATAGTTAAAAAAGGTCCCTGAAATAGACTTTACTGAACTCATTTGTAATCTGTGATTCTACTTTTAACATGTCCACGACAGAGACTTGTTTTGTATGAAAAAATTGTTTTTGTAAAATCCTTTGAAACTTAAAACTCATAACAGAAGTAGCAGGCTGGTAAATGTTAGAACTAATAAGCTCAATAAATTAATAATAATTACAGGTATATATTTAATAGGATTTATTTATTTTCAAATCATTGGAGTTCCTATACACATATATCTGCCTTCATTATAAATTCCCTTGTGCTTAATATGTAATTTGGGGGTGAACACTTTTAAACAGGGGTGGTTATTAGAAAGACATTAACTTCTGGGTGTGACGGTGGCCGCCTGTAATCGTAGCACTCAGGAGGCTGAGGCAGGAAGATCACTTCAAGTTCAGTCCAGCCTGGGCTACATATACATAGTGAGACCCTGTTTCAGAAAACAAATAAAAACAAACCAAACAAAATTAAAGGAAGACATTAACTAGGGTTTGACTCTTTCTTTCCTTCCCCTTGCAGGGCTGGCCGTCAGTGCAGGGCCTCAGGCCTCCTCCGCTAGGCTTGTCCCTGAGCTGCATCCCAGCCCTCATTCAGCTCTTTGCACTCATTGTGTTTACTTCTGCTACTTTGTGGGTCAGGCTGCTGTGCCTCAGTTTCCTAAGGAGCTCAAGTGCCCCCAGGACACAGGGCCTGGAGCCGCAGCCGGATGCCTGGGTCCATCGCATGCCACTATTTCTGACTGTTACACTGGGCAGGGGCTCACCTCTGCCTAGTGAGTGGAGATAAAACGATTCTGCAGTGGGGCCCGGGGCTCTGCACACCCGGGTCCCCAGTCATATTGGGGACAAGCAGAAGCCCCCTGAACGGTCCCTGTGGGCTCGGAGCTGCAGTGGTCGCCCCATCGTGGAGTTGGAAATGTAGGAGTTGATCTCGTAGCTTGGAAGCTAAGTGCACGTTGTATTCAGTGAGACCAGTGAACCCCGGACCTGGTGCTGGGGCGCCCTGGCTCTTCCTGGTATGACTGTGGGGAAGAGCGGGGGTGGAGGATTCTGTCACATACACCATATACATTGTTTTAGTTGCAAGATCCTGTTTATTGAAATTAGAGAAATCAGGATTATAATTGTAGTAGTAAAATCTCTGAAGTTTATAAACTATATGTATTAAAAGAATTGTATTTGTTCATAACTTTTACCAGCGTTTCTACAGGAAGATTAACTTGCCTGCTTGAGCCTTAAAGCGAGTTGCTTTTCTGCAGCCTCGCACCCCGCACGCCCGCCTGCTCTTGCTTATAGGGGAGAAACCCCGTAGGTGAATCGGACATGTGTAAAACATGCCTCCTCTCGCAGAAAAAGCTAAATGTGACGTAAACTTCATCTTCCCCAGCTCTTCAGAGTATCTGAATAAGCTTCCCAAAGCAGACATTATGCCAGCCTCAGAGTTTAATGCAGTAAAGTCAGAAATTAAAACAAAAAATTACCAGAGAGCTCCATCTCCTCAGAAAGAGAAAAGTCTTCCAAGATACGATCAGAGGGGCCGAGGTAGAGTGCCATGCTTAGCGCGAGCAAGGTTCTGGGTTCAGCCTCCCCCAAACCAGGAAAGGCGAAGGGTCAGCAGTGAAGCCATCACTTGTCAGGACCTCAGGGCTGCCAGAGGGCTGGAGGAGGGCCTGCAGCTTGGGGCAGGCGCTGTCGTCTGTCTCGTCTTTGTAAGAGTCTTTTTTGGTCTGTGCCTTGTACTCTGAGTAATGTTTTGGCCATTCTTCTAAGATTATGATACACAGTGTATTAGCTTCTGTTTTTCTCTAATTATTTTGTTATGAAACTTTGTTTTTTATAGAAGAGTGCTTTTTAATATTTTCTATATTAACTCTACTTTTACTACATTAAAATAAAAAAGATTAAAAAACTTAAAAAATGTTTCTAAGTAAAAAAAAGCAAGACAAAGAATTCATGAACTGACCTTTGAACCTATGGAGATAGAAAAGGTCTTATTCCTGTGATAGTTTTGGTAAAGAGATTATTTAAATTACAAATGATTATCATTCAGCAGATTCCTAAATAGAAGCCACATCACTCATGACCTTCTCTTTCGTCTAAGATTACGGGATAAGTATTGGAGTACTTCTGTGTGTCAGAAGCAAGCCGTTTAGTTAGTGTGGCCTTGGTGACATTGTCCACATCATAAATGTCACAGACGCAGTCTTTTGAAAAGGTCCCCGCTGTAGAATGAATCCGTTGGTCAGGACTCTTGCTGTGTCTGCAGTGTGTGAGAGCTCGGATCTTCACCCTGAGCCCAGCCTCACTCAGCACTATGGGTGTCATTCAGACAGCATCGTATAGATGCGTTTCGGTAAGATATGAACTGCGTAGCATTTGCCCAGTTCAGATGTACAGTTCAGTGCTTTCCGTGTGCGTAGAATCGTGCGGCCTGTACAGCAGTCTATTTTGCAACATTTTTATCACCCAAAAGAAATCCTGTCCCGAGCAGCTACCAACCACTTCCCTTTCTCCCCTCGCCCTTCCCACCCCTGATTCAGGCAGTCTTTAATTTCTGTCTCTCTAGATTGGCCTATTCTGGGTATTCTAGGTTTTGGTTTTTTGGGTTTTTGAAATAAAGTCTTGCTCTGAAGCCCAGGCTGGCCTTGAACTCTCTCTCGATCATCCTGCCTCAGCTTCCTGAGTAATAGGATCACGGGCATGTGCCACCACACCTGGCTTAAGTGGCATTGTGTAGTACAAGGCTTTTTGTGCCTCTGTTCTTTCCTTATTCTCAGGTTTTCTTGGGTCACTCACCATATAGCATGCATATACTTCCTCCACCCCGCCCCGCCTTTTTTTTTTGTTGGTACCGGGGATCAAACTCAGGACCTTGCGCTTGCGAGGCAGACACAGTGCTACTGAGCTAAATCCCTGGCTCCACCTCTTTCCTTTTAATGGCCAAATAGTGTCCATCGTATGGGTGGACCAAATTTTATTTGCTCGTTCCCCAGTTTATAGACAGTTGGATTTAGGGCCGTGATGAATAATGCTGCTGCACACATTCGTGTACAAGTTTTGTGTGATGTGTTTTCATTTTGCTGGAGTGCATGCTCAGTGTAGGGGTGAACTGGCTGGATTTGACGGTGGCTCCGTGCCTAGTCACCAGACTCCAGGCCGTGGAGTGTGCGGTCCTGTAGTTGGTGGGGTTCCGGTGTTTGCATGCTCTCCCCGACCGACCGACCGTGTGCCTGCTCTGTAGTGCAGCCATGTGCGTGGGAAGTAGTGGTCCCTGCCAGAGGGTGACGATGAGCTTCCCACGTGCTCATTGGCCTCTGTGTCTGCCCCGAAGAAATGTCGCGTCTGTTCAGCTCCTCTGCCCGCCTGCCCGTGTGACACGTTGGGTTGTAGAATACTCTGAGCATTGTGCAGAGCGCTCCCTCGAAGGGCTGGGCCACACCCAGCGCGCCCCTTTCCCAGCTCCGCTGTGCCTGAGTTCCCCAGGTCTCCCTCAAGCCTTCCCAGCTCTGCTGCTTGGGGTGGGTCCCTCTACCTATTGGCCGAGGTGGAGTACTGGCTTGGTATTTGTTCCTCTTCCTGAGTGTAGTGTCCCGCTGTCAAGTCACTGATTTTTCTCTTGTAGACTGAGACACCCACTTAGGGCCTTGGGTGGTGTCGCAGTTTGTCACATACTGATGACACCGGGTAGTAGAGCAGAACCGTGTGTCACGCCCGCAGCCCTTACAGGCACTGCAGCCATGGGCTGTGCGGTTGCTTTCTTGGGCACTGCAGACTCCGTTTCCTGCAGTAATATTTCCGCAGTGTTGAAAGAGAGCAGAGCTGGTGTTGCAGTTTCTGGAGCAGGTTGGTGGCCGACCTCAGCCGCCTGTGTCGGTGTAAGAGCTGCTGGGGTCACCTCAGGTGCCTCCAGGCGACTGCGTGTGACGGGGCAGGCGCTGGGAGACCTGGGCGTGGGCGTGTGCGTGCCGGTGTGTGCGCGTGTGCGCATGTGTGTTTCTTTTTGTCATTTTTGCCCTTCTTAGGAGATATAATTTGACCTCTTCAGAATGTCTTATAACATTTCTTTTCTTTTTCAGGTTTTTCAGGCAGAAAATCCCTTCGATTTCATGGAAAACATTTCTTTAGAAGGGAAAACGAATTTCTTTGAGAAACGAGTATCAGAGTATCAGCGTTTCGCAGTTATGGCAGAAACCACAGATAATGTCTTCACTTTGGATGCAGATTTTTAAACTTTTGCCTTTTGACGACCCTATAAACCTGTCCTTGAGAAACAAGTCTGTTTTTCTCACTTTAAAAAATACTTGAAATGTTTCCTTCAAGGGAATGGAAGTTTGATCAAGAGGAAATCTCTGACCAAATTCTAATCACGACGGATTCACACACATACACTCTAGTTTTCCTATACGAGAGTGTGACCTAAATGCTTTTGTCTTTTTCTTGGCCCTGGAATGTAAGACGGTGGTAATTAAGAGGATGGGGTGAAGGGTCCGAGAGGAGTTTGGGGTTCTGGCCTTTCTCCTTTGTGTGACTCTTGGCAAGTCAGTTAATCTCTGTAAACCACACTGTACTGACCTTTGAGATGAGTTTCACGCTGAGTCCTGAGCTCGTGGAGGGATGTGGGATTTAGATGCAAAAATAAGTGCCCTGTCCATTCCTCCGCCTCTGCTCCTCCTCCTCATTGTTACTGATGGACAGAAAGACCTCCTCTCCTCAAAGTCACTGTGCTTCTGAAGGTTCTAGACCTAGAGTTAATGAGATGGCTTAGTATTTGGGGGAAGAACACAAGGATTTCCTTGGAAAGATCATAATTCTCATCAGTGTGAGAGTAACATCTTGGAATTCTCGGTATGTCATGAAGGAAATTTAGCTCTTGTTGCTTTGGGAAGGATATTTAAGGAGTGGAATCCAAGTGGTTTTCATGGTAGTTAACTAAGCAGCGTGATTCTTCTCCTTCCCAGATTAAATGGTAACTGTTGTCAGATTTAGCCCTGGAACGTTTAGAGCCAGGATGGACTGGCTACCTTAGCACTTCCCAGAGATGGCCTCAGAGCTGTTAGTCCCTCCAGAGGCTTTGTGGGAGAAAAGGGACTTGGCGGCCCAGTGAGTTGGAGCACCCTGCATGGCCTGCCCTCTGGAGGACACAGTCGGTGCCTCGGAGCCGAAACTGCAGGGCGGGAGCTCCTCTCACTGGCACCTTCCATGCATGCCCGACAGACCTTCACAGCATGGACTGGAAAAAGCCGGCCTGGCGCTGTTCACCCGGATAGGAACTGGACTAAGAATAGGAAAGCACGGTGAGATTATGGAGGCTTTTCATGTTTGCGCTGAGCTGAGTAGCTACCTGAGACCGACTCCAGCTGTGTTTGCCTTTTTGCTGTCCCGAGAAAGCATCCTTCAATGGCGCCCTGCACGCAGTGTGGTCAGATGTCTCATCTCCCCTGGCAGACAGAGCTAAGGCTGGGCAGGTGTCGCGGCCGCCCGCCCCGCTTCCCCTCAGGGAGCCCCCTCAGTCAGGGGTTCCTGACTGCGGCAGGCTGTACTTTATACACCTCGGAGACTAAAGTCTAGAGGCTCTCTCTGTATAAGTTTGCCGCCTCTGCAGCTACCTAGTTTACAGAGTGAAGTTCTCAGATGCAAAAGGAGCAGCTCACCTGTGTGCTGTTAGAGAGGACCGGGAACCTGGATATCTTGGCTTGTGGTAGTTCATTGGTTCTGGGCTTCAGGGTTTTCCAGGTGTTGTTTTCATCGACACACAAAGCCTTCTGAGCTCAGCAGAGCAGCTGTGGTTGAAACATCGCAGGTGCAAGGAGTGAGGCTCACAAAAATTAAATGACTTGGCCAAGACCTCAGGTACCATCCCCATGGTCTAAATTTTTTTTTAGTTTGTCACATCTCTTAAATTTAGTTTTTGCCATCCATCTAGATTTGGTTTTGCTTATTTCCTTTGTTAATCCAAGTTATCACAGAATTAATGTATGTGATACTTTCGAGACTCAGAATGGCCTAGGGAAACATTTGAATCATAGTCGGGAAGTATCTTAAAGGTTTTTACCTATCGTCATACAAAAACAGTGCTTTGGGCTGGGGATTTAGCTCAGTGGTTCTGCTGCCTGCCTTGCAAGCACAAGGACCTGAGTTCGATCCCTGGTACCAAACAACAAACAAACAAAAACGTGTTTTAAAACTAATCTGTGATGATAGCAGAGTTAAAGAACGGAAGGTGTGCAGTGGTAATGACAGATGCCTTAAAGCTTATTTATAGTAGCAATAAACAGAACTATTGGAGGAAGAAGTCTTAATACTGAAATACTGGATTTTTAACACACTGGTTTATTTTATTCAGTATTCTGTGCCTCCAGGCTGCACTTTTATTTATTATGTTTGGTACTTTGAGTTTCAGATCTTAAAGAATCAAGAGTTATGAAGTCTCTTTTTAATATATCTTATAGGTAAAGAAAATAATTAAGAGTATGTTTACAGCTTTTCCTCTTTATACCACATGTATGTTTAAGTCATTGCTGTGGTAGTTGAGAATGTAAAGCCTCATAGTTCTATGATAGACAGCATGAAGAACCAGGGCCTGGAAGGGGTTGGGAAGACCGGGTGGACGACCTGGTGTTTGCGGTCCAGTACACACAACAGCTAGCAGTCCTCACTATGGAAGCGGACCCGGCCATGTCTTGCTGTGTGAAAGTTTCCAGTTGTCTCATATTGGAATATCCAGGTTATTCTGTTTCTTTGATTACTTTTTCATTTGTGTATGGAAAAAGTGATCACTAAAAATGTAGCAGTTTGCGTATTTTAAAAATTAACTTTGAGGGCTGGGGATTTAGCTCAGTGGTTTCGCCGCCTGCTGTGCAAGTACAAGGACCCAAGTTCGATCCCCGGTACCAAAAAAAAGAACTTTGAGAATTTTTCCTTTTATGTTCAAGTCTGTTAACGTCACTCTCGTAGAATTGCCACATTTCTCTGAGTGGTTCAAGGGCTAAATGTCATGGGAGGGCTTTCAGTGGTAGAGAAGGCTGTGGACGGCCGCCTGGAGTCGGTCCTGAGGGTGTGAGCAGAGCCCAGGCCTGGCGCCTGACTCTGGGTGAGCTCTCTCACGCGCCTTGTAACTGCTCTGCTGCTTCGTGAGGGAGATCAGTGTCCTGAGGACTCAGAGGAAGGATTTAGTCCTTCAGATCTGGAGCTTACTTCTCCTCGAGTGTATGACAGGGTGGGGGAGCACTTGCCTGTAATCCCAGCTACTCTGAAGGCCGGGGCAGGGGGTTGCCAGTTTGGGGTAAGCCTGGGTGACTCAGAGACTCTGCCTCAAAAAGTGAAAAGGGCTGGAGAAGGAGCTCAGTAGTGAGTGCCCACCTGGCGTGCACAAGGCCCTGGGTTTGATCCCCAGTACAGGGAAAAACAAAACAAATAAAAATGAAAGACTACTGTAGTTCTTTTGTGCAGTTAAATAAAGTCACAATATTCTTAACTTATGTGTTTAATTCTGTTTTATGGAATTATGTTTTGAGTTTTGCAAATGTCTGGTCATTAAGCAAGATTATCTGTCTACTGTGTACATAGAAAGCTTTATTAGATGCGGTATACCTAAATTATTTTTTATTTTGCTGAAATATGTAAGCCAATTCTGCATATACCCAATCCATGTTTTTCCGGGGAAAGTTGTTTTCAGTTGTTACGTGTTGGTTTAGTGTGTTGAAATAAACTGCATCATAGTCACATCACTGTGTGTATTTTGTTTTCAAGTGAGAATCCGTTGTTCTCTCCCTGTCCTCCTCTGCTTCCCTCTCTCCCCCTCTCTCTCTCTCCCCCTCTCCCTCCCTCCCTCCCTCTCTCTCTGCTTCTTGCCCTGTTGTCCAGTCTGCTCTTGACCTTGTGACCTCAGGCATTGTGCCTGCTCAGCTCCCGGTGTCCTGGTCGAGGTGCGTGTCCCCTGTGTGTAGATGGGTACAGGACTCTGCATGCCGTATCCCGCGAGCTGTCCGGACCCAGGCCCTCGCTGGCCTGCGAGGGTGCTCGCGTCTGTCCCACTCCTGTGCCTTTCGCTGTGCATGGAGACCCTGCCAGCCTGCAACCTGTTCCCATGGGAGCCGCCTTAGTGCTGCTGAGGAACTGAGCAGGGCAGACGGGGCTACCGGAGCTCCGTGGTGCGATCTGCAGCCTCCATGGTTGCGTTTGCGAGCCTTCTCCCCTCTGTACCCACTCTGAACACGGAGATCTCCCCGTCTGTGAACTTGGCTCACACAGATGCTTGGAAGACTCAGCAGAGAGCAGGAACACCAGACCCCGGAGAAGCCCAACTCAGGCCCGTGAGAAGTTGGCGGCAGTTTTGGGGTGGTCGCTGCTCTGTGGAGCCGCTGTCACCTGGGACGCAGCAGGTGAGGGGTGATGGGCTGTCGGGCTGGGTCAGGTGGGGCTGAGTACCAGGCGTCAGGTCTTCGGTTGTTAGGAAGAGCGGGGTGTGCGTGGTCTGGAGGTGAGGGTGCGGGTCAGAGGCAGCCCCGGCCCCATTCCCCAGTGGCCTTGGGCGGCCCTGGGGTACGGAAGCAGAAGCCTGTGTGGGAGAGGGTCCCCCAGCAACATCCCGTCTCATCGAGGCAGGAGGATGCAGAGGTCCCCAAGGCTCGGTGTGGAGGCTGAGTGGGGTGTTGGCAAGGTGGTGAGGAGGGGCTGGCACAGATGGCTGACGGGGATGAGGTGCAGGGGCTTAGGAGAGCCACCATCCTGCCCTGGTGCCCCAGAGCCAGCAGACTTGTTCATGGCAGTTCAGCACTCAGTGCCTTGGGTGACCTGCACCAGCTTGCATGCCGAATCTGTGCTCCAGGTCGGTGCCTTTGTTTACCTGGCGGAGAGCAAGGGGCAGGGAGCCCTTCAGCGGTGCACTCAGTTCTCTGAGGCAGAGTCAAGGCGCTGGCTGCATTCCCCACCTTCCCTCACCACCAGCAGTGATGTTCAAGCTCTGTACCTTGAGAGTTTAATTCTCAGGGAAGGAATCCGTATTTGTGTAAACTGTAGAGGTGGCAGGGTGTCTCTGCCACCAGGCCACTGCACCCACTTCATTGCCCACTGCCTTGAGGAGGAACCGTCATGATATTACTGGGTCTGGAAGCAAAGTCCCTGCCCTGGGCCACTCAGCTAGCAGATGTGAGTGGCAGGAACCCAGTTGAGATGCCCTGGTTCTAAATCCCGTCTTTCCATCCCTCTTCTTGCTGATGGTGGGCCTCAGGATTTTGGGGGCCTCTGATCCCCTTTGATGCACACATCCTCTGGGATGTTGCAGCCGTGGGAGCTCCACTGGTCTCCGAGTCCTGCCCCCCAGCATGCTGGGAATGGCCTGAGCATCACTTCCGGGGCGTGGGGAGGGGTGACCTGCAGGGGCCAGGCTGCAAAACAGTGGGTACCAGTACCATTTTCCTGATCACATTGGGGAGCTACATCTTTGAGATTTCTTAAAACAAATTCAACGTCAAGGTGTTCAGTTTGGTGCACACAGAGGAGGCTCAGAATGGCGCACTCTGCTAGTGGCGCCTGCTGGCAGGTTTGGAAAGCTCCAGCAGAGTTAAGGCCTCCAGTCTCCTGTTAGAGAAGGGTGACCGGGAATCAGGCTGATAATGTAGTGGCCACACAGGTGCTGTCCGTGATTTGTGCAAATTCCAGGCTGCAGGGCCACTCCTGCTCCACTCCTGCTCCGCAGGTCTCCATGTGTAGCCAAAGACATCTGGGGACTCCCACTGCCCTCCTGCCCTAGGGGAGACTGGCCAACTGCAGGTGACATCCAGGGACATCAGCCTTTGTGTCTCTGAATGAACAGACTGGGAAAAATCAATCGAAACATTTCCTGTTCATGAGAAATTCACCAGCTGCTCATCTCCAGGAACACAGTATTGTCTCTGCCACAAGGCTGACAGGACCTGTTCCCTTTCTAGATCTCCCTGCCCTGGCCACCGAGTTCCTGTGTACTCCCCCGCCCCACCCTGACCTTATGACCGCCTTGGCACGTGGTGCCTGAAGTTGTGACTGAGCCCCTCTGCGGGCAGGGACTGTGCCCTTCATATTTGAGTAGCGGGTGCTCAGCGTTTACCTGCTGAAGGAGTGGTGACAGTCATGGCCATGATGCTGCTGTCATGCAGAATGAGCATGTGTGACCCACAGGAATCTCCCTGCAGGAGGGTGTTGGTTTTCTTCCTTCCCTCCACAAATACTTATCGAGCATCTCCTAAGTGTAAGGCACTGTGCCATGCTGAAGAAAAAACCATGGGCTTCACATCTGTCCTTGTGGACGGGTGGACGCAAAGTAGACAAAGTCCTTCGAGTTTGCCATGTTTCCAGGCTGCGTTTCAGTCTGGTGGAGTCAGATTTCTGCACCAGCTCTGATGGTTCCAAGCCTCACACTTGTCCCAGGTCCCCTGCCAGATGCTGGCACCTTGCATGGAGCCCAGAAAGAGCCAGCCAGGGAGCTGTGTGGCCCCCTGCCATCCCTGTGCTGGGGAAGCAGAGAGGTGGGAGAGGGACGCACTGTGCACGTCCCCTCCTGCCCTGACAGGCCTGGCCCTGGCCCTGGTCCTTGTCCTGCGGTGTCCTCCTGTGGTCACCTGCTGAAGACAGTGGCCAATCTGGACCGAGGTCTCCTTCCCTGATGTCCTCATGGTGGCGCCCTCGAGTCACTGGTTTCTCAGTTTAGAACCAGCTCTTTTCTTGCAGGAAGAGAGAGGCTTTGAAGGAAGATCCTGCTCCCAGCTGACACAGGAGACTTGCTTGGCCCGGGCCCTCAGGATGGCAAACTGCAGCAGGAGCATCAGGGATTGGTGACAGGGTCGCAGGGAGACCTGCATCTCTGCAAACAGCTCACAGCAGACTTGAGCACTTGACAGAGGCCAGGACTAGTGGCAGGGTCGAGGTGACTTTGGTATTGCTTGTCTGGCAGCTGAGTGGAGAGGGGAGGTGGGAGAGGCACAAAGGCAGTGTCTGGCCACTGACACCTCTGGGCCTTGTCTGTTGTACCAGACAGGTGTGGTGAGGTCTTCGGCCCCAGACACCCAAAGGTCACCACTGCAGACTGAGGCCAGACTGGAGCGGACACTTCCCCCATTCAGGCCCGGGGGGGCACTGCCTCGGAGCCGGGTCACCCACCTGTACCCAGCCAGCTGTGACACACTGTGCCCGGATGTGGTGACTCAGACCTCAGAGCCCAGCCGGGCTCTGCCGCTGCTGGCTGGGACTTTGGCTGGGACCTGCCTTCTTCATGCCTGGAGTTCGCTGTTGGAGCCTGGGTTCAGCCCAGGATCTGTGCGGTTTGGCAGAGGTGACAAGGTGGCCTCATCCAAGGGGTCATAGGGTTGGAGAAGCTTCCCCAGCACTTGGGGCCCCGGCATCGATGTCCTCCTTGCTGTCCTTTCAGAACACACCAGGGCCTTGCTTGCAGGAGGGTCAGGAATGCTGATGTGAGCCAGGACCTTTGTGTGGAAGCACCACGCCAGGCTCCAGCCATCTCCAGGTTGGAGAGCAGAACTGCTTCGCTTCCAGAGGGTCGGTGTGGGCCAAGCCAGGTGCAACTGAGCCCCCTGGGGGCTGCTGTCCTGCTGTGACACAGCTGATGTCCACGTTTCCTATGACCGGAACCAAGCACAGCGCTTCCCTGTCCTGTGGAACAAGCTCAGTGCGCAGCCTGGGGGTTAAGGAGCGCCCGCCCTGCAGAGGGCGGAAGGGACAGCAGAAGCGCCACCTGCCCTCAGCTCAGTTTCCTGTCTGTACGGAGGGCTCGTGCTGACCCCAGATTTAAAGGCGCTGCAGGAGGGCTCGAGTGGCTCCCTGAGGACGATGGGGGCCTGGATTGGGCTGCGTGGACGGGCATGGGCTGCACTGGGTGTGGTTCAATGCAGCTGGTTCTCCTGAGGGTAAACTGAGTCATCTGCAGGAGACCATGGTGTTAAGTGCGATAATTCAGAATCGCACGCTTAAATGTCACATGCTTTCTCTTACACGAGAAACCCAAAGTGTAACTAAATTAAAGAGAGAAGTAGAAGGTAGATAATCAGGGAGAGGAGGGATGGGGACGTAAAGAGCATGAAGATGTGTGGGTGCGTGCACCGCCTCCCCACCCAGAGTGCGTTGTCCACTGTGTGCTGCAAACCTGTGTTCATAAAAGTTCAAATTTAAAAGAAGGGAAAAAGTTGAGGCAGGTCACTTTCTCTAATGCCATTTGATGTTTTGCTGGAAATTCTAGCCAGGGCAATTCAGCAGGAAAAAGAACTGCCAGGAGCCCAGGTTGGAAAGAAAGAGTAAAACCATCCGCGCTCACTGGTGACGTCTTACATCTGGATATGGATTCGCAGCTTGTCCAGAGCCAGGTGAACTCCACTGCTAATCCATCCGAGTGTTTCTTTTTTTCTCCAGGTGTATTTGCTTTCAAATCAGTACAGTGAATTCTGCAAGTGAAATTTATCCATCATTTGGCTGATACAAACCTTTCTCTAAGTTGACTTTCCCATGGCCCTGAATGGCGTAGAACCTGTGCCTTATTCCTGCTGAGGACACTGGAATATTGGCTGAGTACAGCGGGGACCAGGCAGCAGCAACCACCCAACACTGCTCAGAGCTCAGCCTGCCTTGCACCCGGCTTCTGGCCTTTGCCAGGCGGAGATGGGAGCACTGGGGTCCACATGGCCTTGCTGCCCATCACCCCCAAAACACCCTTGGGCTCGGGGCTGCTCTGTGGCCTGTT